TGATGATGATGATGATGATGATGATGATGATGATGATGATGATGATGATGATGATGATGATGATGATGATGATGATGATGATGATGGTGCTGAGTGTTATGACGATGAGATGAGAGGGGGGAGAGAAGGAGAGGGCATAGAGGAGAGGGCAGAGGAGGACAAGGAGAAAAGGATGGCCTGCAGGGCAGCGCCGAGGCCGACGAGCAGCAGGGCCCAGGCGGGCGTCATCAGGAAGTGAGTCGCGGGCCCCGCGGCCACCACGGCGAGGTCATTCCTGAGCACCGTCCTGAGGACGAGGAGGTGGAGGAGGGGGAGGAGGAGGAGGACGAGCGGGCGGGGGGGCAAGCGATGGCAGAATAGTTCACATTCAAATCTATACGGACAACGAGTGGGCGCGGGCTGTCGGACCCCGAAGGGGGGCTACAGTTCCAATGGGGACCTGCATTCGACAACCCACACCCATTGCCCCCCACACGGGATTCCAAACCGAGACACTCAGGGGTCGCATAAGTATGGATGCTAGCTGTCACCCCGCGAGCAACGGTGGGCAGGGGGATAAGGAGGCGGGCGACGAGGAGAAGCAGGGGAAGCTGTATGCGGGGTGGAACTGAGGAGGAGGCACCAGGATGAGGAGGAGGAGGGGCGAGTGAGAGACAGTGATGATGAGTAGGAGGACGAGAGGTAGGAGGACGAGGAGGAAAAGAGGAGGACGAGGAGGAGGAGGTCGAAAAAGCATTGGGGAAGGCAAGGGAGGAGGACGGACAAACGGGGGCGGGGAGCGGAAGGCCGTTGCTGGCACTGGGGCCTGCGGTCTGCCGCGCCCTCGGGGCGGGAGGAGAAGCAGATGCCGCCGAACGGCCACAGGAGGATGTGGTCGATCTGGCCCCCGACGTATCGGGCGGCGTTGCCGTGCCCGAACTCGTGGCACAGCACCGTCAAGATGAGGATCGCCTCCTGGCCGCTCAGGAACAGCAGCCGCCACGGGTTGAAGCCCATACTGTAGAGCGGGGGGCGAGGAGGAGGGAAAGGGAGCGGGTGGAGAAGGTGGAGGGAGGATGATGTTGTTGTTGTTGTTGTTGTTGGTGGTGGTAATGGTGATGGTGATGGTGACGGTGATGGTGATGGTGATGATGATGGTGGTGATGATGATGATGATGCTGATGACGATGACGATGACGATGACGATGACGATGATGATGATGATGATGATGTCAGGCTCCATAGGGGGGCTGGGTGCCTTGCGTCAGCAACTCTCGAATGGCCCTCTTCCGCTTGGCCACTGCTCGGGCCCTTGCCCGCATCAGAGCCTCGACCCTGCTAGGGCTAGCCTGGGTCGGTTGAGAGCGCAGAGTGTTATACGTCGAGAGCAAAAGATCATGCACAAGAGTGGCAGCATGCACGGCTCTACAGGACAGCATAGGAGGCCTCAACAGCATTCGATCGATAGCATTCCACTCGAGGAAATCAGGCGGCAGCGACGGAATGATCTTAGGAAGAAGTGGCAGCGGCACAGGGCACTGAAAATAGTGGGAAATGTGGTCTGAGTCTGCAGCACCGCAGCCCAGGACGCAGCAACGGTTCCCTGATCGAAATCTGGCCGACGTGGGCCACGCATTACAAATAGACTTGAGGAGAGAGGAGGCAACGAAGGGGGCTTGTTTGGTAGCGGCGTTTAAAATGGCTCGAAAAATAAATTCGGCGTGGCCCATGGGGGCCTCACTCCAGAACTTCCGAATCCTTGGGAGGAGAAGGGTAGGCATTGATGGGCGACCCATGTTCTCGGCAACGGCAATCGTGACTTTTCGCTGAACATCGTGCGTGTATTCATTGATCGACGGGCAAATCGTCATGAGCTCGTCCCAATTCTTGATCAGGGAGCCGCAAATAGACTCTGCGAGCCAAGACCTGTGCCGAACAACAGCCAGTCGTTCGACGTCTTCGTGCTCTAGAAAATGCAGGCGTTCCTTCACTCTAGCGAAGGCTGAACTCTGAAGAGCGACCCGAAACATAGCGGCCTTGTTCGTGGCCTGGAGGTGGCGGGGCTCGACTGGGAACCCAAAGTCCAGGGAGTTCTTGAGGACAAGGGTGGGGATGGCGAACCTTGGGCCCATGGTCAGCCTTTGAAGAGCGTTCGTTTCGGCTCGAATCACCTCGGGCCTAACCGGCAGTACCTGCATCATGTACGTCAAGATCGGGAAAGCTAGCGAGTTGTAGGCATAGATGTTCTGAACTAAACCGAGCTTCAGCGTCTTAATGTGCCCGACCCTGGAAAGATACTTGACCAGCACAGGATGCCACGAAGCCGCAGGCCCAGTAGGGCCGATCATCACCCCCAGATATTTCCCATGAGTGTCGACCTGGAAAGGCTTTATATTGATGCCCCACTTTTTGAATTCTTGATTAAGCTCGGTTCTATCGAACTCCGCGCCAATGACAATCACGCACTTCTTCAAATTCGGGAGCAGACCTGTCACGATCGAGCTCCTGAGAAAGTGCTTCATCATCGCGGGAACTGACTGCCTCAAGTCGGCCATCGCAGCGCCTACGTCGTCGGCGAAAGCGAACGGGGAGGAGGGGGTCGGTAAACGTGTCAAAATCATCTCCAGCTTCCGTAAAATAGGGTCAAAGGCCAGGGCGAAGAGGGCACCTGAAAGTGGGCAACCTTGTTTTATACCACGAGTGATTCGGTACCCAGGGAACTTTTTTCCAGCAAAAATGATGAAGGAGTAGAGGTCGGAATACATCTGGCCAACTGCGCGGAGGATAAACTCTGGGATGCCCATCCGATTCAGCACGTGCAAAATCCATTTGTGGGACAGCGACGGGAACGCCGCTTTCAAATCCAGCAGGAACAGGCCAGCAAACGGGCAGTCGTTATAACACGCGTACTCTAGAAATTTGCCTTCAATATCGAGGATATTGTCGATCAGGTATCTTCCTTTCACGAAGCCTTTTTGCATCGGGTTAGTAGAAAAAACTGCCTGCTGGCCCATGGGCACACATATTGCGCTTGCCAAAAGCTCGTTGTCGGTGTTGCTAAGAGTGATCGGCCGAACTTGGCCAGATGGGCGAACTATGGACTCATGATCATTCTGAAGGATATCTTTGGGAAGAAACACCGTTTGCCCATGATTAAACCCCGAAGGCAGACTGGCTCCTGCACATAATGCCTGGTAGGCTTCAAATAACACACGGTGAGCGCGCTCTCCTGCGTGTCTCCAACACGAGTAGGGAATTCCGTCAGGTCCACAGGCAGAATCGCGGCGACTGATGACGATCCCTTGGAAGGTCCCGAAATCGATTTCCCATTCAATACCAGGGGCAGCCCGAGGAATATCATCCGAAAACTCGTTCATGATTTCCAGAAATTTTGGGTGAAGTCCAGGTCCCTGAGAATGAACTTCTCCCCAGTGTGCCGCCAGCGCCTGTGCGCATTCGTCAAGCGAGCCAAGAGGGGAACCGTCAGGAGCAGAGATGCCACTCAAGTTGAGACGCCGCCGCTTCGGCGACCATGATTTCAAACGTTGGTGAAGTCGAGATCGCTGCTGCTCGACTTCCTGTAAGCCATGCTCAGCGCTGGGTAGCTTCGCGAGGTCATCCAAAATTACTGCACTGCTGAGCTCATTCAGGTGATTATGGAACGCGTTATAGTCGTAATACTTGCAGCTGTCAGAGTCAATAAACCTAGATAAAACAGGGTAGGCCTTCACACACTTTTTGATCCAGGAGGAGGACTGACTCCGGAACGAACCAGGAGAGAGAGCCCGAAGGGCCCGCATGGCTTTTATGCACACCGCGATCTTTTGCTTGTCGGTCAGGACCCCGCCCTTGAACATCCGTTGAGTCAGCTCCTCCCTGGCGGCGAAAAAGATGTCCTTCAGCAGGCGCAGCTGTTGGAACGGGGAGCCGACGAGACCTACTTCTTCGATGAGGGATTCGATAGCAGGACCGAACTCGGGATGCTCTGAGACCCATCTGGGGATGCTCTGACTCTTAGAGGAACCAGGAGACAACAGCAGATAAACAGGAATGTGATCGGAAACCTCATCGATGTCGTGCGCGAGTCCAATTGTACCTGATTTGGGGTGCCAGTCGAGTATTTCTCCAGTGGGGGCATTCGTGTAGATCCTGTCGAGCCGAGCGACCGAGGTGACCGTGTTACGTACTTGAGTCCTGTGGGTGCAGTCCGTCTGCGCAATCTCGCAGAAGGACGGGAAGACGGTGCCGAAGTGCCTGGCCAAAGTAGTGCTCCCTACAGTGGGCTCGCTGCCATCGAGGGGGATGCGCACATCATCTTCCTCGACAAAGTTAAAATCTCCAGCCAGGAATGAAAGGCACGTGTTGCTGCTGGGAATACTTCGAGCTGCACGCGACATGAGATCATACTTAGCATGGTGAGGCAGGAGGGGTTCGATGTGTATGTTCATGATCAACATCGCGCCGTTCGTGCCAGTCACCCGCACGGAGAAGCATCGCCCTCCACTGATATGGGTGATCACAGGTTGACCTTCAAACCAATTCATCACTGACTTACGTATTGAAATAGTGCAGCCACCACTAGACGAGACAGGGCAGAAGGAGCCGAAGTGGACGTGGGAGGGGAAGTCGCGCTCAAGAGAGCTTAAGTCGCCATCAGAACCGTGAGTTTCCTGACACATGACAATGTCATACTTGTTGATAAGCTGTGTTATCTTTGCTAGTTTCTTTCTTTGTCGTGCATGCGAGCCGCGCACGCTACCAAACAGAGTGGCCGAATTATATGTTACGATGCTTAACTTGTTGCGAATTATGAAAGAAGCACTCTCTTCAGCACCAGACGGAGGGGGAGGCACAGGAGGGGGAGAACTGCCGTCCAGCGGATCTTGTGCGTGGGCACCCATAGCCAGCAAGGCTTCGCCGCGCACACGATCTGCCAACCTTGGCGAGCAAACGCCGTCCTCCAGACGGCGACGCGAAAGATGCGGTGCGAGAGTGGCACAGGATATCTGCACAGGAATTTCCTACTCCGCCAGCAGCGCCTGGACACGGTCTGAGATCCCGTTCGTGAACGATTCCTCCAGATGGAAGTGCTTGAAGCTCGTGGCGTCTACGTCGATCTCGAAGCGCCCGTCGCAGTTGCTGTTCACATCCTTCAGCTTGACCATCTCGTATGGGTCGCCGTTCTCCATCAGGTAGAGGATGCCTTGGAATGGGTTGGTGCCGAGCTTCATGGAGGATGCGTTCCACAACTTCTTACTCTTCATCTCGGCCTGGATGATGTTGTAGGCGAGGCCCAGGGCGTAGGCCTTGTGCCTGACAGGCAATGGCTGGTCTTTGCCGAGCCGAAGGTCGTGGGTCTGCGATGTCTGTGGGTCGATCCATCTCATCGCGATGCCTTTGAAGTGGCCCCAGCAGCTGTCAGCCTGAGCCTTGTTCTCGAAATCGATTGCGTACGAGTACTTGAAATTCTGGAATTTTGGCGTCACCTTGGACGCGAGCTCCGATGGGAGATTCGTCTTGAGGACTGAGTAGTGCGCCTCGAACTGCGTCTGCATCAGCTTCCGTGGGAAGCCTCTAATCCAGAGGCGGCACGGGTTGCTTGCATCATATGGTCCAGCCGATGTCGCGCGAGGCCGACGTGCTTGAGATCCCGACGATGTGGTGGAAGAAAGCGATGGTGGCCTTGATAGTGTCGATACCTGCGAGCTCAGTGTGGTAACCTGATCCTGCAGTTTGACGAGGATGTCGGCTTTGTCGCTGGGGACGCCTGTGTTCATGGCGTCTATCTTGGAGTGTAGTTCGGCGAAGCTCCTGTTGGTGCTCTCCTCGAACTGGGCCATCTTGGCTTCGTTGGCCTGGACCCTCTCGCTGAGCATCTTGCATTCGGCGAGTCCCTGATCGACAGCATTGAACCTGGCCATGATCTGAGCAAGAGCATCCCCATTGTCGGCCGGCGAGCCCATGACTGGGGACGAGGTTGTGGCGTCAGACCTGGGACGAGAGGATTGCTCCCACCCTCTGGGGGCCACTGGTCGGGAGACTAGAAGTCACAAGTGAAGGCCCTGTGCCTTCCAAAGCAGCTCGAGCTCCCCGTCGGCTGCGACCAAGGTCGAAGCGCCAGGGAAACGTTTCGACCTTGAGCCAAAATGGCTTGAGCCAAAATGGCTTGAGCCAAAATGGCTACGGACTGATGATGATGACGATGACGATGACGATGACGATGATGATGATGATGATGATGATGATGACGATGGTGATTATGGTGATGATGATGATGATGATGATGATGATGATGATGATGATGATGATGATGACGACGATGAACCACACGACTGACACACAAGAGACAGCGCGCGGAAGCGACGCAGAGGCAAGAGGACACGCGTGCACACATGGCGGCGGTGGCGGCGCGGTACGACTGCGATCCATCCGCCCCATGCCCCATAGGTGGCAGATTCCCACCCGAGCCCCTTCCTCCCCAGTCCGGCGCCCGCTCGCCCACTCGCTGCCGATCACGCAGGTGGGCTGCTCAGGCGGGCAGTCCCAGACCTTGCGGGCCCCGGAAAAGTGGGCGACGGCCACGTCGATGGCCTGCGGGCGTGGATGTGGCCGACGACGAAGCGGGCGGAGAGGGAGGAGAAGGAGGGGGGTGAGGGAGGGCACAGGGAGGAAAAGGAGGGGGGTGAGGGATGGGAGAGGGAGGAGAAGGAGCGAAGAGAGAGGAGAAGGAGCGGAAAGGGAGGAGAAGGAGACGAGAGGGAGGGCAGAGGGAGGAGAAAAAGGAGGGCAAAGGGAAGAGGAGCACAAGGAGGGGGAGGAGAAAGAGGGGGGAAAGGGCAAAGGGAGGAGGGCGGGGGGAGGGGGGGGGCAGCAGCGTGGCGGAGGTCCGAGAAGACGAGTTCCCACTCTCTTCCGCAACAAGACCTCTGCCCTCTGCAGGTGCACTATCGTACACATACGCTCACATGCGTACCCGTCTGCTGGAAGAGGTAGAAACATGAAGTAGGAAGGCGTTGGAAGTAAATCGGGCTTCCGCCCAGGGCCCTCTTGAAGAGGAAAAACAAGGTGAAACCACTCGACCATTGAAGTAGGAAGGCACCTCAAGTAGACGAAACCAAAAAAAACAACCAAAACTACTTTCAACGACCTGGTATGCAGGTGTACCTGGCCAGCCGCGATCGAGGCTCACACATATGCGCTTCCCTCAGCATTGTCGCGAACATAAATACGAACTAAATTCAATGTAGGTATGTTGTTCTCCCTGTGTCCCCCTCATTATCTATCCCTCTCTGTCGCTCTTTCGCCCCACGCTCACCCTCTCACCTCTCTCTCTCTCTCTTTTATTATCTCTCTCTCTATCTCTCTCTTTTTGTTTCTCTCTCTCCCTCTCTCTCTCTATATATATATATATATATATATATATATATATATATATATGTATTCACATCCCTCCCTCCCACCACCCTCCCCCGCGCCCCTTCTCTGTCCGCCACCATGCCTCATGGCACGCTGATGCGTGGCAGGTTGCCAACTGCTGCCTGGTAGGGTTTGTGTAAACCTTTTGTCCAGGGGCGCCTCCTCCGGTCACTCCGGCGCGCGCGCCGTCCAGCACCCCCTTGAGACTCCCTGGGCGGTTCGACGTTCCCTTCTGGGGCTTTCCAAAGCTCTCCAAGGCTTCCATGACGGCCCCAGAAGGCCACCAATTCTGCCAAGATGGCTCAAGAGGCGCCCAGCTGCACCCAAGACTACCTCAACAGACGCCGAAGAGGTCCTTCGAGGTTCTCAGGACCCGAGCAAGGGCAAGAGAGTCTAAAGCTAGTTGGGGGACCCGACCAGATGCTCCGCCGAAGGCGAAGTATACGTCCAACCCTGTTGTATCGCATTAGAGATAATGCCGGAGGTGGGGAAGAGCCGCGTGAGCGGCGAGGGAACATCTCAAGAAAGAAAAGTGGAACCTCTTCTGTCTCTATGTCAGAAAACGGACCGCAGTGCGACACGGTCAAATTGGCGGCTGGTCGCTTGAGCCCAAGCGGCCGCGGGCAAACGCTCGATACTTCTCGCCTTTGCCCTTCCTCCAGAATCGGGGGAAAAGACGAAGCGTGAGTCCGCTACCGGCCTATTCAACAAAACAGCTATATCACAAAAGGAAAGGCAGCAGCCAGCGGGCTCAACCTTAGCAGGTCGCCCCGCAGTTTACTAATCCTCGGGCGGCCCAAATGGTTTCGTCTGGCCAGCCCTGTAGGGAATGTGCGTCGCTTCAAGTCGTGCTTTAAGGATTGTAGTCCTTCCATACCTTGTGAGAGCATCTCTGTCAATGCCCCCCTTGGTGTGACCATCTGCAGTCATGTTGCGGGTGTCACACCACTGCACACAACGCACGATACCACGCCCCATCACTTGCAATATCAAACTGATGTGACCCAAGAGGCTACATTCAGTCGGCTTCTTCCGGTCCTTGCTTCACAAGGATTCGAGGACATATTTCGCATCAGTGGTCAGGGTGACCTTAATGTTGAGGCCACCCGACTCAAGAATGCCCTTCAATTGAGTGGGCGTCAGCGGCCCTGCATGGAGTTCGCGTAGCGCAACAATCGTGGGATCGCAGTCCTCCAAGTTATGGGCTGCTACTAGCGTTTCATCTAAATGGCTTGGGCGGACCTCCAAGCGGTGAGACTTGCAGTCAGATGGGCGAAGGACTTACCAGCAGGCGCGCGCCCGCACCTTAGCAGGTTTGCCCCGCGAATAACATGGCCTTTGACCTCGTCACCGGCATCGCCGTTCAGGCGGCGGTAGCCGGAATCGCTATGCAGATCGACCTCGCCCGGAGGTGTCATCGATTTGAGGACGATCTGCTCGTGGCAAGCCTGCAGCTTCCGGGCAATCGCGACGAGTCGTCGCATTCACATGCTGGTAGGTTCTTGGACGCGCTGCAATGGTGCAACATGAAAAGGCGTCAGCCAGGGCGCCTCTGAGGCCAACAAACATGTCAGCAACCATATCCGATGCTTTGGCCTCAGCATCTGCGCCCGTGAGTTCGCGGCGCTGGGTGGGGTGGAGCTGATGCGTGTAATTCGCATTGGTCAAGAGTGCCATTGCCGTCGCTGTCCTCAGCATACCTCGCAGCACAGCTGGTGATTGCACGTTTGCTAAGTCTACATTCCCCACAGGCATCCTCAACGCACTCGACGCATTTGTCAATGGCGCCCTAAGTACTGGCCACGTTCATATCATCCACATGTTCGGCAGCGAGAAGGTCGGGGCCCGTCTCGAACTCCTCGTCGCAAGACGCGGGCGCGAATCCGAAGCCCCTCGAGGTCCCCCTGCGTTCCAGCGAGAAGGCCCACGGTGCATCTTCGGCGTCGGCGCCTGGCCATGGCGTCAAATCCAGGGGGAGATCTGAGTGCTGATGCTGAACCAAGTGGCAGGGTAAAGCGCCCCGCTCGTTCCTTTCCAACGGTCACTTCAGCGAGTTCTTGACATGCGAGCCCCTTCAAGAAGGCCGCGTTGATGTCAAGGGAAGCATCGATTCACTGCTTCCCGCACGCTGCCGCATTGGCGAGCAATCGCTGGATCGACCGCAGCGCCGCTCCCGAGAACGTTTCTGCATCGAGGGCTTCGAGGTCCACGGAGTCCCGAAGTGCCCGGCGCAATCTGATGGCGCGCCCCATGTCGCCCTTCTCGTTCTTCACGAATTCCCGTTTGTATGCGTATCTTGAAGTCACGATGTTTGACGCCTTGGATATATCTCGCGGCTTGAAACACTGGTTGTCAAACCATGTCTTGAGTTCAGTATATGGGGCTTTCGATACCTTCACTGGATTCGCCCAGATATCTGCCTTCGTGAGAAGGTCGCCCTCCTTGGCGACAAGAGCTCGTCTGGCTGCAGCGGAAACATATACTCGCATCGTGGTAACACGGCCGAGGTCCAGCATCCTAAGTTGTTGTTCGGATAAAACTACCTTTGACAATTCTGCCGCAAAACAGATTTCTACATATTCTCATGCTCGCCTGAGTCTCATCCACAACTGTCATCTTCGCCCTTGGAACACAATAGGACATGATATTTCTCGGTTGTGTAGATGTCCTGTGGGTTGCCCCTCGCAGGCAAGTGCCCTTGCTGTTCTTCGGCTACTGCGACAAGTACGCTGGTTTCACAAAGATTATCTGCGCGGGTGCAGCATAGAGTTCTTCTACTGGAGCTGCGTCCAGCAATTCCCTTTCGTCTTGTAGCTCGGCATACCACACTTCCATTATGTGTGTGTCTCGAAGTCCGCCTCTGATTACTCATAGATTGTGGGAAGCCCGCCGTCTGCCTGGTGGTTCGGCTTCTGGGGCCTCCCTGGCATTACTGCCTTGCGTTGGCACGTCTACCAATTCGTCGAATTTCGCCATGTCTTGATCGAAACCCGCTTGAAGTTTGGTGGATTTCAGGCGCTGGAAAATTCTAGAATGTGGTGATCCAGTTATATGCTGAATAATTACGACAGTGCCTTCAGCATCAAAGTAATGCCAACTTGGGTTCACGTCGTTCTCATAGCGCACCAGCGCACAGCTGTCAGCATACGTTACCGGAGGTAGCACGTGGATGATCTTAGCTGCCCTCATTAACAGAAGCAACGCTTTCGATGCGGAAGAAGCTCCAGAAAAAATACTGGAGATCTAAGTGCCCTTTGGAGATGATCGGCTCGCGCTCGTCACTTGGAGCGCTCCCTTTCTGGTCGGGATATCGCCGAGCGCCATGGCAGGTCGACCCGCAAATAGACTGGCCACGAAGGCCAACGCAGTCAGCAAGGCTGCGTTGCCCGAGCCAATTTCTCGAGTGATCAGAGCTTCAATATACAGAGAGCGTCTTGCATCACCGTGCTGGACTTGTGCAGCGCGATTGCCAATCCGCACGGCTGCTTGGCTCCTGTCGGGATCGTTCCAGACGACCGGGAATGGCCAATTCCAGCCGTCCCAGACATCTTTCGTGGTGGCGGGGCGACGGTAATCAACGAGATCCCCCTAGTTGTAGTTATGCTGACCAGAGATGGTCGTCTGGGTTCGTTGCGCACGGCTTGTCTTTGCAATTGCAGTGGCTTGTGTGAAAGCCTCAATGCTCACATTCTCGATTGTGATCGGATGCGTCCGTCTGCTGCCAAGCAGAGCTCCCCCAAGGAACCGCGCCGATTTCAAAATGGGAAAATGTCCAACATGTTGCTCCCCTCAAGCTGGACCGCGGGGAATCACCGTGGAACGCCCGCGCGCCATCGAATCGCCGCGCGCCGCCTGCCCCCACCATTGAATACCGCCGGGCGAGCCGCGGAGGCGCGACCAACGCGGCCCCCGAGCCAGACCGCCGCGCGAAGGCCATGGAACTCATCGCCGCGATGATGCTTCATTCCGCAATCGTCGGGCATAGCGTCCGCGCGAATTTGGGCGCGAGCCGCAGTCGAAGCGCAGGCGGAATCGGCGCGCGCGCGCAGACGTCGAAGGCCAGGTGCTGCCCCGGCCGCGCTTCCGATTGCTTGCGCGGGAGAAACACCCCCCAAGCTGATTTGAGATGAAACGCGCCGGCGCGAGACCGACGGACCACAAGGAAGGGCCACTTT